AAATCCTAATCTCGATCTATGCCAACTCAACAAGTACCTTTGGAGACACCTGTAGAGCACCTTTATATCACCCATTTACGTTGTGACGTTTGGTAGCACACAAAGTGTTCCTCCGGTAAACGGGAGTTGCATAATCTCATAGTCATATGAACATGTATAAGTCATGAAGAAAGCAGTAGCAACAAACTAAACGATCATTGTGCTAAGCTAGTGGAATGGGTTAAGTCAATCACATCATTCTCCTAATGATGTGATCTCGTTAATCAAATGACAACTCATGTCTATGGCTAGGAAACATAACCATCTTTGATAAACGAGCTAGTCAAGTAGAGGTATACTAGTGACACTCTGTTTGTCTATGTATTCACACATGTATCATGTTTCCGGTTAATACAATTCTAGCATGAATAATAAACATTTATCATGATATAAGGAAATAAATAATAACTTTATTATTGCCTCTAGGGCATATTTCCTTCACCATTAACCCATTGGGCTATTTTCATAGCGTTATCAAATACGGCCTATTAACGGCCCGTTATGGTTCACGAATAGCATGACCCATGTTTGGTGAAATGATTATACGCCCCATAGAGGGCCCATGGATCATACGGCCCATAGAAAGTCCATGGATCCTCGGCCTGTAGAAGGCCCATGGATCCTATGGCCCGCAGGAGGCACATGGTTACAACAGTCCGTGTGTTGCCACGATTATTGTGGCCTAGTTACCAAAAATAGGTTATTGTGGCCACTAGAAAAATGCGGAAAAAGAATTGCAGTGACTACAAGCAAACAACTAAACAAGACAATAAGGGAATAAATAAGCAAGCAACTAACGCTAGCCTATTACAACTATTACACATATTACAATCGCTGGGCATCAAAGTTCGCCACCAGTGCAAATATAGGGAAGAAAGCAGCATATTACATACACTGGCCGCCAAAATTGGCCACCAGTGCGAATAAACGTAGCAGCAAAACAAGTCCACAACTGAAACAACTTCAGAAGAGCTCAAGAAACTTTATCCTGGATATCCACCATGGTGGCAATAAGCTTAGCAAGCTTATTAGCTTTGTCCTGTTTGGCGCTAAAATCCTCCAATGCTTGTTGTTGCACCAGAAAGTATGCATCTGAATGTTCCAGGGACTTCCGCAGTCCTTCCGCTTCTTGCCGAAGCACAACTAATCGATGTCTTTCAGCTTGGAGTTGAGACTCAAGAAACCGAACTGATTTAGACAGTGAGTTTGAATAGCTTGTGCAAGCGGTAGTGGCCAGTAACTCGAACTGTAAACCAAGACATGACTTTGGGGTTGACTCACTGTCTTCAAGATAGTTTTCCTTAGTTGTTTTATCAGCTTTGTTGTAGACCAACAAGGATGTCTCACGATCCTGAACCTTATCTATATTACTTCCTTTACCATTGCGTAATAAGGCACTCTTCCCCAATATTCTGTCAGCATTCTAAAAGAAGAAACAAGCAGACACATAACAGGTTTAGCATGTACTAGTATATGAAACTCATTTCGGTGAACCAGTTCATTAGTAAGGTGGACAAGATTAAACTACCAAGTCTTCTATTGCCAAGTAGTACATTATAAAAGCATCAAACAAACATATATCTATGTCCTTTGGTCACTGCATTGTCTTGCCAAATCAAAATAGAGACACGGTTCAAATCATATCAGTTCAAGAGAAGGCAACACTGAAAGAATACAAAGTGTGGGAAACTACAAGGCACAACAAGATTTCAGATGGGTACCGCGGGTCTACATGTACAAAAACATTATTGGCCCTGTTGTGATGCTAGTAATGTGCATGATATGAGAAGTCAATTGTATACACAATTGAAATTGAAATCAAGAGAGCTATTTATAAGAGAAAACCTGTTAAAGAAACATGCGTAAACATACCTATTGTGCCATTGGATCGTTCAATTTAAAAATAAGTTTGTATGAGTAAATACAGTGATACAAGAGCAAAGCACTATGCATGATAGCAATGGAATCTTGAATGAGAATAGTTGTTCTTCAGGTTCAAGCACTTGTTCTACATGAACAGAGTACAGTAAGACACAAGCATATAGTACTTAAAATAAAATGAGCTCATAGACCTTACCACATTCTTGGTTCAGGACTAGTACAGAACAAGGCGTTCCCAGTCATCGTCCAGTAAATATGTCTCAGGAGAATGTAAGGGAATTTGATGAGTTTCTTTGCCAGTGAAGTATGTTTTCTTCAGGTAATTCTGATACTGCCACCAAGCATTCTTGAAGATAGCAGAGGTATTAGCACAGGTTACCTCATCCTGAGTTTCCAAATCGGTCCTTCTCTATAGAGAAAAATGGGAAAATTTGATGTATTATAACCATCATGGAGGTAGAATGTATGGGACAAAGCAAGGCAATTGCCATGAATAACATTACTTACACATAACTCTTGGACAAACACCTGCAACTGGCATTTTCCTTCATCTTCAGTAGAATATGTCCATGATGGGAAGATACGCACATAGGATTTAATTAACAACTTCAAATGTGATAGATGCTACACTATGAATGGCTGGTTGTGCTTCCTCCACAGGAATAGGTGTACTAACTGGTGGAGTTGGGGTTCGCCATGGTAGTACTGGCACTTTGGGCACTGGAGCTGCCTTACTAACTGCTCTTGTTTGGGAGATCTATGGTAGAGATGGTGTTGTGTCAACAGGAACTGGGTTACTATCTGCTGGGGTTGGGTTAGATTGGGTGAAGCTGGTTCTCTGTCCATCGCAGTAGGGGTAAAATCTGTGAGAGTCTGGGTTATGTGTGGTAGGGCTGGTTCTTGTGCATGTACAACTGGGGTGCTATCTCCACCAAGAGGTAGCACTATTTTATTTGAAGACCGTGTTTTTACTCCGCTAGATACTGCCATCACCCGCTCCAATTCAAATGGCCGATAAACAGGAAACATAGTTGAATGTACAGACATTGTATGAGAGACAGATGCAATAGATAGTGTGGAAAAAAGAGGGCATGAAATAGTTGACATGTATATTGTTCAATTAAAATGGATAGCATGACATAATATCACATATATGATGTCTATCTAAACTGGATAGCATAGCATAACATAATTCAAAGATATGATGACTAACTAAACAGGACCGCATGACATAATTCACATACATGTTATCTAAGTAATCAGGATCGCATGGTTTAATTCACATATGTGATTTATATGCTAAGCAGAGGGCATTCGCATATATGATGTCTGAACTAAGAACATGGTGTTGAATATTGTGTATATGATGTCTAAACTATGCAATGCAAGATACCATATGCATGATATGAGCAGTATAACCGTGCCAAGTTAGAGCATACACCTCGGTGGGGAATAGTACTGGTCATCTGTCTCTGAATCCATCTCTGAGGAGCTATCGGGACCCAGCAAGAGATTTTCTTCGACAGGTAGCACTGTCTGCTCTGAAGGCCTTGTTTTCACTCTAGATTTTTTTCCATCACCCACTCAAATGGCTGATTCATAGGAAGAGTAGTTTAATGTACAAACATTGTCGACAAATGGAAATGTAATGAAGAAAAGGATGGGCAATATATCATTCAAATATATGATGCCTGGTTAAACAGGATGGTATTGCACATTTCACATATATTATGGTTGGCTAAAAGACATGAGACTGCATAATTCCCCTATATGATATTGAAACTAAACAGGTGGCATTACAAAACATGTCTAAACTAAGTAGATGACATATATGATGTCAAAAGTAGGCACTGCAAGGCAACATATGCATGATATGACTAACATCATCATGCCAAGTTAGAGAAAACACCTTGGGAAGTAAATAGGAGTGGCCAGCTACGTCTGAATCTGCCTCAACACATATATATTCCTCTGGATTACAATCTGGAGAGGGGGGAGGGTTCGCCATTGAACCCACCATGGAGTGATGTCTGCATGACATTGTATTGCCGCGCAAAACTCTTCTTTTTTTCTCCACATGTTCAGCATGACTATGTACAATATCTGACATGCATACAAAAAATATTGTGAGATTATGTAAGGAGAGCACGCAGAAATCTAGAGTAATGGTAACAACCAGTGGATGGATCCAAAAATAATGATAGCAAGCTGATGATTGCTTTAATTCAATAAAAAACAGATGATGATTGCTTTACTATTTGTTTCCCACCCAAGATGAACAACATAGGCATACCCTAGGTGAACCAGATATTAGACAGAGATACTATTCATTGTTGCCTCAATATGTGCCCCACAACTAATTTAGAACTCAAGTTTGAACATCATTTTGGACCTGACTTGGAGTCTAAGAGGTGAACATGACAATAAAGTAGCAAGTAATATTAAGCAATGCATAACATAAGCAGAAACAAAAGAGTGCGGCCTCTCTTGTGGACCCGTGTACTCCTCAGGTTCATCTGCTGAGTTGACGATGGTGATGCCATTGCGGTGGGTGCCGGCAACAGGGAAGGAGATCTGAGGCGGCTAAAGACGGTCAGGAGTCGTGATGTCTGGTTTGGTGGATGCTTCTGTCTATGGAGCAGCTCAGGTGAGGTGGACGACGTCGCGGCAGGAGCAGGACAAACCACACAAATTTTTCTTCGAGACCTACCTGTAACTGAAGTAATTTAAACCTATAAGGATGCTAGCCAACCCTCCTCCACGAAGGTCCCTCAGATTGGGATGTTCCTGGCCGTCTGTTCGCCTTGAATATGGTCAACCGAGTAGTCAGGTCCGTCTGATCTTTACTGTGATTTTCACCTTGCGATTTATTTTTGAGGTCCATGACTCGTGGGCTCAATGTCTCTCCCTATTGGCTGGGTTAAATTTTGCTGGGTGACCTTTGCCAGTGAGCCGCGTGCCGTCCCATGAGTCGTGCTGCCTCCCGGAGTCCCGATTCACCCCTCCCACGCGCCGCACCCAATCCCCTCCTCCTGCATGCCTCGCACCCAATCGCCTCCACGAACCCTAGCCCCCAATGGATGGGACGCCACACCCTCACTCCTCCCCAACAGCCTCCAAACCCCCCACCTCCGCTGGATCCAAGGCGTGCGGCCACGGAGGCGAGCCTCTCCGGTGACGGCGGCAACCTGCAGGCAGAGAAGATGGGAGAGAGGGAGAGAAGGAATGAGAGGAGGGAGGTCCGGCGGCGGACAGTAGAGGGTCAGCAGCCTGCGCCAGCGAGGTCAGGTGTGACCTGGCAGACCTGGCAGTTGATGGCGTCCACTCCTGGATCCTTCTTGCACTTCCCCACTGCCAACCACCAAGCACGGGTCAGGGAGCATGGGATTGACGACGGTGGCTGGAAGCCAGGATGGCTGGCTGAGGAAGAGGGTGAGGACTTGAGGATTGAAGAGGGTGTGTTCTTGGTTTCATCAGCGCACTAATTAGTCACTTATATACTGATATTTTATCATATCTCTGTTGAGGATATCTTCAGGTTCCCACACTGAGCTATACTATTTTGTCATGTTTTCTTCAGGTTCCTATGGAGACTGTTCTTTGCAAGGGTAAAGCATCATCAGCACTGGTGGTGGTTGGATCATTAGATGATTCCCAGTAACTAGGTATGTCTTCTTAATTCTGTAAGGGCTCATTTGGCTTGCATGATTCTAAAGACGCATGGATAGGAGGAAAAACACCGGAATAGGATAGGAATGCACATGGGAAACAGAGCATTGTTGAACACATGATTTCTGTGAACTTGGGTGTTTGGTTCACAAGAATTGGAGGAGCAGAGGAATGCAAAGAAACATGGCCAAAATAAAGTGAAATCATATGAAAGCGTGTACAATTAGAATGTTATTCTGCCACTAATGCACTTGGTCTTGTTTTCATGCATAGGATTTTGAAAAATAGGTCCAAGTGGATGTTTTGCTCCATTTCTTTCAACAAAATGCATGAATAATTGAATAGTAGAGTTCCATAGGAAAATTCCTATTGCTATGTTTTTCCGTTGAACCAAAATAGCCCTAATGGATCAACATGAATGTAGAGTAATAAGTGATGCGACAAGTGTACAACCTCTTTGCTGTAGCCATGCCGACCTCGGCATCATTGGGTTGGTCGCTGAAGAAGTTGAGGCAGAGGTGGCTGTGGAAGTTGTGGAGGAAGATCTAAGGGATCTGTAGATGGTATCCAGGGCACTGCTCTGTTGTGATGGATCGTGCTGTCGCTGGAGCCACTTCGGTGAGCCATAAGACGTCGAGGCTGAAGCAGCACAAGACAGACGTCATTAATCTCAAGTGGGATTCTAATAGCATCTTCTATAGATGATGTAAAATACATTACCACCAAAAATGATCTGACTACAACACATGAGGTAAAAACTGTTGACTCTAAACTTAACTGTCGAAACTGAAATTTAATGTGGAATCTAAGTGTTACTGTCGAAACTGAACATAATGGTAGCAAAAAGGCACTTCACATGTAGTTTAGGGAGGGCCTGCAGTTCTTCTTCAACCTGCACCCCCCTGAGCCGCCAGCCACCACCGGCCGAACCGCTGGCCCCGCGCCACCTCGCCGCCCTGAAACAACTCCCCGCTGCCGCCTTGCCGCCCTGAAACAACTCCCCACCGCCAATCTGTCGCCGCCCTGGCCAGCCATCTAGCCCCCCCCCACGCCGAGCTTTTTCTCTTGCGATCCCCATGCCACGGCCCCACCACCGCGCCCCCCACCTCCGGCGACCACCACCCCAACCCTGAACCCTAAGATAGATAGTGGGGTACGTCTTAGACGAGCCCC